GTGCAACTTGGTCTAGACTGCTGTAATAAAGTTGTATACTAAAAAATTATTTTTTGTAGTAAAACTCATTTTATTAATTAATAGAAGTTTGTTCTTTTCATTCTATTGAGAATCTATGTGGACAAAATATTGGCATTATATTTGATATATGGTATGCACATGTATCTTATATTTTACATTGTAGAAAATTTGGTGTATATAAAATTTGGCCTATGAATAGAAGACCAGATTATTGGATCCTTGTATAATATGAGTATAGGTTCACAATCCTATATGGAATTGGACACACCATTAGTGTGATTATAGTGTTATATTTATGACATAGTCTGTCTTGACTATAAGAGACTATTTGATGTCTCAGATTTAAATGGGTTGATGATGTTTTCTTGAGAAAGTTCATAAGTTTTATTCATGTCAAACCCTATAAGTGGATTTAATCATCCGACGTAACAAATAAATTAAGTGGTAAGGTCTCAAGGAATAAAAAAAGTCAATTAAATATAATTTTCAGTAATTTAGTTAATTGATGAACATCTATAATCTTAAACGTGAGGAGATTATTAAGCATATAATAATGAGGAGCTCAAAACATAATTTTGAGATAAGGCTCAGGAGATCAACAATAAGTTTTTAGTAGACTGACTTCTTATTAATGGACTATAGGATGTTTGTTCTACATGGAACCTAGTTTCATAGGCCCATTGAAAACCCGGTCCTTATTTCTCCTTAGAATTTTTATCATAGCCTATATATAGACGTCTAGGATCTCTAAATCAGCATCAATTCATTACTCACGTTTTAAGAGTGTCTGAGAGAGAGAGAGAGTAGAAGTTCGGAGGTTCTTGCAACCCATATTGCATCCAAAATTTTGATGTTATGACAGAAAATCGTGAGGTTTAGCGAGCTACCTGTTGTGTCTGTCTCTTATTTTCCGCGTTCATGCTAAGATGAGATCAATCCAAAGCGATTTCGAAGGTAAACCCTAATTCCGCCTTGTAAGGTTTTAAAGAATTTTTTTTTGTATTCGATACATACGCTCTATCAATGATTCTTGGGATTTCTGTTCCAACATGTCGTTCCCCAAATGACCCCAATTACTTACCAAGGGATTCAACTGCCACTCAGAACCAGAGTTTTTGCACAGACCTTGCCACATCTCCGGAAGGCGTGAATGAACCTTCAAAAGAGTAGGGGCGGTAAGCTTTAGACTTCTCTGGAAAACTCGAGGGGAATGATCAACCTCTAGCAGAAGGCGGTGGTCTTTTAGTAGGTTTTTTGACAAACTTTTCAGAAGGGTATCTCACAAAGAAGGTGACAAAGAGAATGAGGAAGATGATCATTTATATGTAGTGGGGGTGCCATCATTACGCATGTTCCATGATGAGCCGAATTAAATGCACTATGGTCCCCAAAGGTGAGAAAATGGTTGCACGTATCTTGTGAAAAGGCAAAGGATACAAGCCCTTTCATCTTTATCTGACACGTCATTCGGTTCGTACGAAGATCAAGGACTAGGGACAGTTGATTGGACATTTTGGCAACTAGTGAGGGAGTGACACACGTCACGAGTACAGTCTTCGATGTGGGAGACCCTCCTCGACATCATGCCTCATGTTGTATGTCGGCGACGCTGTGGTATTTTGGCATCCGGTGATGACTCACCTTGGCATTGATCACCATGCAAGAGGATAAACTTTGACTTTGAAGATAGAGATCATTGCCAAACGCAAACAAGCCCGTGATCAAGATAAAGCAGCCTCTGAGTATTACAGTTTGGGGGCGGGATTGACTCTCAGTTATTAGCTCCTTCTCCAAAGCAATCTGAATAATTAGAAAAGTAATTCAATGACCAATGATAGAGATGTTTGGTATACGGAACAATTAATTGCTACCCCTCGAAGGGGAGATTGACGAAAATGCCCTCGTGCATGCACGACCATGCCCATGATGCATTAAATGATTCGTAGGAGATACATTCACTACTCGGCAGGGATGAGAAGGGTACATTAAGTGCTCGAGGTCCCGAGCGCAAACTTTCAAAAACACCTAGTGCCGAGAAAATCAGACACTCTGATTGAGACCTGTGCACCAAATGTTGTCCTTTGTACGAACCAACTAGGAGCTTTCCCTCCAAGGGGACCTTATTGTCTACCTCAGTCAACCCTGGAAGGTATAAATAGCACACTCAAGCTCAAAGCAAAGGTATGCAACCCCTTCTCTAAGCAATACAACAGTGTTCTCAAATTCTCTTTCGAATATTGACTTGAGCGTTGTAGGGGTCACGTTGAAGAACAATCTGATGCTTTTCTAACTCTTCTTTCTTGAGTGACAGGTCACTGTTAAGGGCTTTTCATGAGTTGACCGTTTACAAAGGAGGGATCCATACTGTTCACTAGCCACCGTCCTTAAAGTCCCGTTCGCAACTCTATAGTTGTTCACTGTGGGAAGCACTGTGAGAAGCATAGGAGGGGTTTCACTTGGGTGACGTTCCAGGGAGACTCGAGCTAGTCAAGGGAGAGATCTGTCATCTCATTTATTGTGCATAAATCACCCCCACACAGTCACGGTAGTGAGTGCTTAAGGAATATTAATAGAGGAATATGAGTGACTGAATCCGATAATTCATTTCAAGGTCGTGTGATTACGTTTGTTGCAAATTTTACAGTCAAACACTTCATCTTTTTGGTCAATTTTAAATGGAGACTGATGGCAGGTTGCTTTTTGGTGGGGGAGTTGAGGCAGCTGTGTGAGACTGTTGTCCAGAAGAATGGCCTTTTGCAAAGCGCGACCTTTGGACGTGAAGTGCGCTGGTGCTCTATTTGTGGGTTTTCCCGCGTGGTTCTTCTTGAACTTGTTGGATTGATGGTTGAAGTGCTGACCATAGAAGGCCATTTGCGGAGCTGGAGGAACATCAAGATTGTGGCATTCGACATAACTCTCCACAAGTGTAACAACCTCATAATATGGTCGAACTAGAGATCAAAGCATCCCAGCAGTGAAGCTCTCATATTCTTTGTCGAGACCATTAAGACGCCACAACAACTTCTTGTGATCTTGAACGGGCTTGCCAATAGCACCAAGATCATCACAAACTGACTAAAACGACACAAATAAGCAGTCAAAGTGTCGATCCCTCGAGTTATGGAAGTGAGACATTGCTTGACTGTAAGATTACGATTAGAGGAAACTTGAGCAAAGGCATGTACCATGGTATTCCAGACCTTAACAAGAGTGTTGAGTCCAACACCAGTGCAAAGGACTTCTTCAGAGAGAGTGGCATTGAGCAATCCTGTAACTAGACAGTCCAATTTGCACCACTGAAAAAATGCTGGATTGCAATCAAAAACAGAAAGCGAATGCAGGATTCGGCTATTCACCATTCAGAAGAAATTATGTTCGTGGTTTGGTTTCATCGTTGAAAAATTCATGACGATCATAACTCTCAAGGATATTAAGCATTTTTGGGCTTTCTATAAACAAAAATTTATGCAAGAGTCAAAGTGACATGAAATTAGCGACATTCTGTGTCATGGAAAAGGGATAGTTTGAAGCCTGAGTTAAAGAAGGTGAAGAACTAGAACTGGTTGGCATGGGGATTGCAGAAAAAAAAAATCTGAAGAAAAGAAAAGAAACTTTTTTATGTCAGCAGGGGCTCTAATACTACAAGATTTTGGAGGAAGAACTATAATGGGTATATACAATGAAACTAGGAGATAAAAAAATAAGAGGAATATACGATAAAACTATCCATCCACCAAGCTACAGGTGGTGGAGTTTGAATTTTTGAATCTGTGTTATCAGCATGTCGAGAATTTTGGCACGTGGTTGGAACAAAATAAGTGTGTTTGAACGAGGCAAATGTATGGCCATTGAAAACTTTTCGTCATGTTTGGTAATATATTCAGAGACTATGGTTTATGTGGTTTAGAAGTTTCATTTTGTTTGCAAGTCAATTAGGAATTTAGTCATTTCATTTCTTAATTTAAGGGTTAGTAGCACTTTTGTCCTGCAAATATGTATTTTTTTACAATTTAGTCTTCATTTTATCAATTTAGTCCCTAAAATATTTAATCTGTGTCACTTTAGACCGTAATCAGACAATCTGTTAAGTTTTTTGATGGAAGTGACCACATGTCATTTTTTTAGATGTTATCACATATCTAACACGTGATCATTCTATTAAAAACTTAACGGTTCATCTATATAGGGAACAAAATGATATGAATTATATACTTTAGGGACCAAATTTATAAAATTAATACAATGAGGACTAAACTGAAAAAAAAAATACTTTAAGAACCAAAAGTGCTATTAACCCTTAATTTAATTAGGATTCCACTACCTATATTAATTTCGAATTTGATTAGGATTCAAGTTTATTTTGTTTCCTATTTAAAAGGGTTTTGCTATTACAAATTGATGATGCACAAAAGTGGACTATGCAAAATCAACAGTTGAGTGTGTGATAAAGTGTAATTAATAGACAATTAATAGAGTAATCAATGACAATAATATAAATATCGAGTTTTATAGTTCTTGCCTCGCTATTGCATAGGAACTCATGTTCCAGAATCTCGCAAGCTTGCTTCACTAGCTTGGCTCTAGTAATTCTGGAAAAATGACTCTTGAAATTCCTTTTGGAATTTTCGAGAATGCCTTGGCATCTTTCTATCTTTTCTGTTTCAAGTTTCTGATTTTTAACTTCTATGAGTTGATTTTCATCAGCTTGTTCGTTAATGAGGCACCTCCAAGGATTGGAATGTTAAGAGTACGAAAGTGAAGCACTGTCACCAGTAGAGGATGGCATCTTCTAAATTGCAGGTTGCTGTCCTCTTGCTGATTGAAACGCTCAGATATGATCGGTATAGCAGGAGAGTGATACCACATTTGTTGGAGACAAGATACAATAAAAGGCTATTAAAATTTGATTAAGAAGAGTAGAGTGTTATATTAGAGTTGCCAGTGCAAAGATCAAGAATTCTAGAGAAATTTTTTTTTCTCTTCAAGGCAGAAATACTCATTGGACAACTGTAAAATGAACCTTCCTACAGAACTGAGTAACCATAAATGTCCAAGGATACTTAACTTTAAACAAGCTTGACTGTTACATTTATTTTCTGATACAATGTATTTGACTCAAGACACTTAAAATGGGAAATGGACTTTTTGATTCTGTAGAACCCATCACCACAGTCATAATCATCTTCTAGTCCCAACTGTGGTTTTCTGTGACTCAACAATCTGAACTTCTTGGGGCAAGAGAGAATAGTTTATGTTCAGGTCTTCAAAAATTTGCTTCATCTTCATAACCAGCTCAGATCTCCGCTTGTTCCTCTCTCCATATTCTTGAAAGTTCATTGTGTGATTAAAATAGAGAGCCATCTTTATCTTGTTCATGTTCTCGATCTCCTTCACCACGACACTGTGAGTTGGATGCCAGTGTTTACGATTACTATCTATGTACCTGACCATGCGGAAAAAAATAAGCAGACAGATAAGGCAAACATCTATGGCTAGCATTTGAATCAAACTAAATTCTGAATACCCAATAAAACCAAGATGCGGAATTACCTTCATCTCTTTCATGGAGTTTTTGAATAAGAAAAAGGCAATATGCCAATCACTTTCTCATTTGCCTTTGGTCCTTACAACTAAATGGCATCTGATTCCATGTTTAAAGTCTTAAGACAACCTAATGTTGTAACAAATTTTCCTTAGATGCAACTTATAATAGAAGAGATAAGTTGGCTATTCCTCCTTTCCAAGGCAATGTCCTTTTCCTTGGTCATCATACAATCTATTGGAGGACAGAATATTTCAATTGCAGGATCCTATCTCTATGAAGTTTTCGAAAACATGTCCAACGATAATCATATTATGACACTATGTATATGGATGGAGAATATCTACTACCAGGTAGTGTAGCTAGGCTTCTCAAATATTGGGGTAACTAGAAAGTCTCAGCGACATAAAACAACTTTCAATCCAGAACTTCCTAACTCACAAATAGGATCTCGAATAAGAGTGAGAATAAGGCAAAAGATCAGACTTACTCTTTTATTTGATCTTTCAGTCTCCCGATCACTTCCACTTTTGTGTTGAAGTCGATGGAGAACTCGAAGGAATCGCCCATATTGTCCGGGCTTCTGTAGAAATTGCTGATAGGCTTGGTAGCCAAAACCGAGTTTGGATAATATATCTTCTCATTATCATATCTCAAGAATACTGTAGTCAAAATATTCATCTCTTCCACTATCATCTGCCAGGTTACAACTAGTTAATCCAGTGTTGATAAGGTGGACTTGATTATGAATATAACCAGAAGCATTCAATTAGTGGATAATACCTGAACGCCATCAACAACACAACGGTCACCAACATCAAATGGATGCATCACAAACACAAATATGAGAGCTTCAAATACAGTCTTGCAAGCATTCCCAAACATAAAAGCTGCCACCACAAGCTGTGATGAGAGGAAGACTAGCATTTTGGTTGTTACGATTTCCGTCAAAATCAACCACACTATAATCATAATAACAATCAGGATTCCACTGACAAGCCTGTTCAATTCCTCTATAGCTGTTTTGCTATCTTCTAGAACATGGCCTAGTTCTTTGCGACTTTTGTGAACCTTCACCTGCACAGACAGCAAATCTTCAACTGTTGGCCATTGAGCTTTCTCAAATATAGGAAATGGTTTGCAAGGCGGAAACCTGTCATATTCTCTTCTCCTTTTTATGAACATTTTCATTCTGAAGAAGAGAAGCCATAGGCAAAGGACTCTAGGTATTGGACTTGACACATCAGAGTTCTCTTCTAATTTGCACAGTTGTCAGGAAGACAATGATCCAGCTAAGTGGCAGCGATGTGTAATGTTTATGGTAACATAAAGTCCTCGCATGGCACTTAGTGAGCACATATAAAGTGCATGATAACTCTAAGCTTTGTGTTTTATTGTACAATGCATTATATAATCATGCGGACCTAGCCCAAATTGACAACATTTTAAAACCACAGATTTGGAACGTAGGTGAGTGAGGCCTTCATCTAGGGCTCCAAAAATCACAAGACTAGATTTACAAACTACAAAAATAAGTGGAAAAAAGAAGATTTAAAATGTAATGGCCGTATGGTCAAACTTTTCTTTAAACAAATGCAAATTTTTCTTGCATACATATGTGTATATTAATCATATGTATGTCTATCAAAGTAGCTAAAGTTGACTGCAAAATTCACACATTTCTTGGCAAGGGGCTGCAGTTATGTCACACCTTTTGTTAAGGCTTGATCTATTTTTCTGTTACAGGTCTCACATGTCGTAGGGTTTTGTTTTTGTTTCTATAACAGCTTTTTTCCTGCCATTTTTCATAACTATACACTGTGTGAATATCTACTGAAACCATTTCAACAACTACTACCAATTTGTGAACCATAAGTGCATTTCAGCATGAAAACCAAGTGCAATTTGAAGAGGGATTACAAGACTACTCCTATTCAACAGGGTTGGGGGGGGGGGGGGGGGGGGATAAAAGAAAGGCTAACCAGCCATTCTGCTAAAGCTTGGTTGCAGATTTTTCCAGTCTGCGCACATCCATCATTGGTAACACAATATTCATATGCTCGTCGATCATGAATTTTTGTAGATCACTTTTTGTAATGTACCTACAAGTACAAAACATTTTTGAAGGAATGCTACATATGATGGAAGTGGCTATAAGAT